CTCATTAAACTGTTAATATTTCTGTCTTCCTCTTCAAGAAAAAAAACCTAAAACCTCACAAGATATTGCATGCTCAATAGCTCTAACACACAGCACTGCACACACAAACACTCACACACACACAAAGCCTCGTAAAGCTTTTCTGACTAAATGCGTGCCTGGCTGCTTGCTTAAACACACACTCACTCACACACACTCACACACAGACGTACACACACGGCTGCAGCACAGCACTCTTATTTAAACTGATGCGAGCGCTGTCACGACATCCGACTAGTCCTATTTGTTCCACAGAAGCCTTGGCGTGAGAGTGCAGGGTCACCCCACTGGCTCTCATGCAAATCCATTCAGCACACACACACACACACACACACACACACGCACACACACACACACACACACACACACACACACACACACACACACACACACACACACACACACACACACACACACCTAATAGTCCTGCAGATAAGCAAAAAGACTGAGAGAGACAGACAGGCAGGCAAGTAGAGAGACAGAGAAACATGCAGAGAGAAGAGTGGAAAGGAAACCAGTGGACGACAGACAGACAGACAGACAGACAGACAGACAGACAGACAGACAGACAGACAGACAGACAGACAGACAGACAGACAGACAGACAGACAGACAGACAGACAGACAGACAGACAGACAGACAGACAGACAGACAGACAGACAGACAGACAGATTCTTACTTACAGAGTTGCTACATTCATTCAATTTAGTAACATGGAGATCAAGGCAAACATTTCCTTAACACACTGCCCTCTACAGGGTCCTTTGAAAAGGCGAGTTATTTTTCCATTTGTAACAATACTTATCCAATCATCTTAACTCATGTGAACTCAAACTAACATTATTGATTTTATGGGAACGTGTTTTGAGACTTTTCAGTCATTGGCTCCTATTCTTTGTGTATTTGTTGTGCAATAATTAGGATTTTAAGTTGTTTTTATTGTTGTTAGTTATAGTTTCTGTGTTGCTCTGAGGACAGCTACCCTTGATACGGGTAAATGAGTTATGTGATCACATGATTCCTTCAGCGTTTTGTTTCTTGCAGTGCTTTTAGTAAACGCCGCGCACGTGTTGTAAAGTTGGTGAAGTGGTTTCTTCATTTGCATGTGTTTTGCCACTTTTTTTTTTTGGGCCGTTGTAGTGCGTTTGCCCCGGCCATCGTTACGTTAGATCAAATCAGTGTTATGCAAAGTTTTTTTACATTTTTGCTGACAAAGGAGTCCCAGTGACACAACATAACAGGTGGACGTTTCGTGCACAAGAGAACTAAAAGAAATAGGCCTACCAAGAAATTAAGCTAACATAGGAAGAGCACAGTGAAAACAAAGGGTGGGCTATTTGGGACAACTGGGTGAGTGAATGTAGAATAGCTTATGTAAAAAAAGTTATATTCTACTACAGAATAAAGAACTTCAAAGTGTGTGTGTGTGTGCCCTGAGTGCAGTTTCATAAAGCTCCTCTGTCATTGTCAGACATTTCTGCAGAGTGCTGGTCCTACAGGATTGTGGTGAGTTAAACCTGCATGGTTGGCCATCGGATTTGTCCCGCACAGCCTAGCCCAAATATGTCAAGCGTGACAATATTAGTCATTTCATGCCAAAAAAAGAATAGTGGGTCATATGCAACCCTCCTCCTCTTCCCCCTCTTAAAATTTGGACATTCACAAACACACGCACACACGCACACACTTTCGCCTGGCGCCCCTCCCCCCCTTCTCCTTTCCCTCCCTCTCACGCAAGCACACACTCAGCATGCTTCATTATACACACAACATAGCGTGCCGGAAACAGACTCAATAGAGGCCAAGCTCCCGGTCCCTGCAGGCTCAATGCCCCTAAAACACTGCACCTTCCCAAATTAGGTTAATTTGCCTTTGCCACGGAGACTGCCTAAAATACCGTCTAGTGGTTGCACAAACAATTATGACTGATACTTTTTTTTGGTGTCCTGACTGGGTTTAATAACCAGACTATAGCTGAAGTGAAATAGGCTATGTATGAGACCCATTAAAATTATGATAATCAAGACGAACAAAGAGTTATTGTTGAATATGTATTTCAACTTTTTCAAAACATTTGTTATTTGATATACCCCAAAGTGAGCTCTGATAAACCATTTGGAGCTATTAATTGTTAATTAAACATAGGCACAGACTCAGAGAGATGGTTTGTTTTACCTCTCCCCTCTTTGGCACAATAGTGTGCACGGTTTGATTATTGTCTCTGCCTGAGTACAAGATTCCCCCCCCCCCCCCCCCCCTTTGTCACGTTAGTCATTTTCTTTCTGCAGTGGAGGGAGATAAACAAGCACGAGAGGAAGGTAGGCTAGACTGGAGTGGGCGGGTGCAATTTGCATCAGAGCGACTGCGTCTGCACGATCTCCTCCTGTATTACGGTGGGGGACATTCATCCACAATAAAACTCTAAATTTGTTTTGGTCAGCCGTTGTGAAATAAGGGCGACCATATCATATTAAAAAAATTCTGTCTGAAGACATGTGTAAACTAATATAACCATGAAAAGATTGGTCCTGTAAAAGCCCCTGCGGGAATGTCTGGCCGTTATTTCAAATTACTTCTGAGGCAATGAATTAAACGCACACAACCCAAACAGAGCAAGGGGTGCGATCTATGCAAGCAGGGAGATTTAATCTAAATCGACTCTAAAGGCACCCTAATTATGCAAATGTTTGGTTCACATATTTATATTTTGAGCCTCTGCTGGGACATGTCTCAATGCTTTAATGTTCAAAAAGCTCTTTATTGTTCTCAAACTGCCTGTGCTGCAGCACCTCTTTTCACCCTCTGTCTGAAACCAGAGCCCAGACTGCTCTGATTGGTTAGCTGGCCAGCTCTGTTGTGATTGGTCAACCACTTAAAGATGTCCCGCCCCTTAGCCTATCACGTTCAATATGATGTCCCTTTGTTGACGAAGTAACAAAGGAGTCCAATGGAGGTGCGGTCTATGTATTTAGTGCTCCTGTTGTGAGTTGTGGAAAGACAAAGAGGTTGAGCTAGGTTCAGATATGTTCTGTTCACGTATGGTCTTCCTTTAGTATTTGTTTTGTTTGAATCCTTTACTAAACATCATGAAAGGTTGCATGGTCTTTTATTTTGAAACGCATCACAGTGATAAGCCAAGTTTGGCCTAGCAGCTTGATTTTATTGGGAGTTTAATCGCTACAATACATAAGAGTGTCATCAGTTTCATCTTCCTGTATCTTAGCGACTCATTTAATCTCATCTTTAACTCTGTTGCTGCCACAGGAATGCCACTAGCCTGTTCATGTCAATCATGAAGTCAGTCAGGGCCCTTCCTGTTTCCTCCCCTGAGACTGACGGTGGTTAAATGGGTTGTGGTAAAGGGTCAACTTGCTCGAGAGGTTAAAATAAGAAGGTGGTCCAGGGGTTAAGGTGGCCTTGTTAGGAAATACCAGGCATTTCAGACTAGGAGCTATATTCAATTAAAATACGCAGAGGTGGTCAAATACCCAGATCTTACTTAAGAAATAGCAGTGGTGGATAGTCACTAAGTGTATTATCTCATGTACTACTATTTTTGACATTCTTTACTTGAGTGTTTTCATACTATAACTTTTTGAGGCAAATATTGTACTTATTATTCCACTTTAACACTCATTGTTACCTACTGTATAAAAACACATGATTGGATGCAGTAATGTTATTTCAAATACACATTGTTAGTATTTTAAAAAGTTCCACGTTGAGGAACTACCGTACAACTTTTAAATGAATCTGTTAGTGGTAAAAACAGAATAATATTTTTCTATAACAATATAAAAAAGAGTCATTCTGCATAGTGAGTGAGCACTTACATTTTGCCTGGGTGTTCAACTCTAAACTGGACTGATATCGGCATGCTCTGTACGGGAAGGGACAGAGCAGAGCAGACTATCAGATTAAGAGACTGTGGTCTTTTGGAGAGCAGGGGGCACTACTGCAGACCTTTTATGACTTTGTTGTTATAATGAATCGACTATACAGACTGGTAAAGAAGGCCATCTCTGTCCTGGGGAGCCTTCTGGACACTGAAGGAGGTGGGGGACAGGAGAACGATGGACAAGCTGTCCTCCCTGCTGGACAACATGTCCCCCCCCCCCAGGACACCCTGTCTGCGCTGTGCAGCTCTTATAGCGACAGGCTGCTTCAGGCCAGTGTTTCACGGAGCAGGTCCTTCCTTCCTGCAGAGGTCAGGCTGTAAAACCCCCACGGCCCCTGGTAGACCCCCAACACAGTACAGACTGCTACAATCTTGTGCATAAAACCTGCTATTTGCAATGTGCAATATTCACATTTCTTTGCAAATCTAATGTGCAATACTCACTGTTTTGTGCAACACCTTAATTTGTTTAAAGTGCTTCTACTTATTTTTAGCCATGGATGTGTACTTATTTCTGTTTGATTGTATTCTACTACTGACATGTGCTTTTATATATTTGTGTAATGTTAGCTTACTCTGTAGGATTGTTTGTATTTGATCTGCTGTGTCACTTTTGCTGTAACAATGTACATTTCCCCGCTACGGGACTATAAAGGATTTCTAAGATAATGACATTTTACTGATAATACTTCTGAACATTTTCAATAGGACTGTTATTTGTTATGGAGTATTTTAAGACCAGAGTATTTCTGCTTTTAATTAATTAAAGGATCTTAGTACAAAACTACTAATTCTCCATTTCAGTAATCAAGTAACCAAGGGATCAATAAAGTTGATTTTAATAATACATAATCTTATTTGTTCCTTATTTGTATTATTAATCTGAATCTTTAAATAGCACATGTTTTTTTAATTGCATGAGGTTGTTTATCAATGATACTCAGTCTATTGACGCTCATTAAATATATATTTATAATGCTTTTATTTTTATAGGCAATTTAGCTTCCTGCACTAACTCTGGCTAACTTGCACGTGACCAACGGACGTTTCCTGCGTGGTTACGTGACAACGTTACGTCGTAGCCATAGCAACAGCCAGAGCATGGCTGACAGGAACAAATCAGTCAAACTTTTTAGCATTTTATGATAATTTTCGACTTTAATTCACAAGAGACTGGTGACTATGGGTAAGTGAACACGTCTTCCGTTTACAAGTCGAGTGTATTTAAATGTAAAAGCTTCACTCTTGCAAGACTGCAGCGGTAACGTTAGAGGACAGACAGCACTGATTTGTTTACAGGTTAACGTTAGCTTATTTAGCTAACCTAACACCCGTTTTTAAGTCATATCTTACAGGCTCATCTCTTTTGTTCATTTTTTCACAAAGTGGTGGCCTTTTATAAATAATTACGTACAGCAATGTAGAGTGTATAATGTCTAACGTTACTTTGCTTGCATCTAAACTAAACTGCATTTTGGACACTATCTTGGGACTTGCCTAGAAATATATCAGTCATTAATAATAATTAGCCGTGGTGGAAAGTAACCAAGAACATTCACTCAAGTACTGTACTTAGGACACTTTACAGGTACTTCTACTTTACTCAAGTATTTTCATTTTTGCTGCAAATGTTGTATCTTTACTCTACAATTTTTTCTTTACAGATTTATTTAGTGGTTACTTTATAATTGAGGATTTTGACACACAATTATTTGGTAAAACGTTTAAAATGATTCTTTGTTATAGATTAAACCATCCAACATTATATTTAAGTAACTAAAACAATCAGTGGGTTAAAATAAAAATAAATTGGCAGCCATTTTGTATTTTTACAGGCTAGTATTAGTACTTTTACTCCAGTAAAGGATCTGAATACTTCTTCCACCACTGCTTTTTGGCCAGGAAGAGGCTGTGGGAGGCAGTAGCTCACTCTTATGGGACTTTGTTAGGGAACTAGGCCGGTTGAAGTCCAGAACTGAACCAGTAGAGTGTGGCTAGAGGGAGGCCAGTTCACTGTCTGGGTACTGCCGAGGTACCCGTGAGCAAAATTACTAACTGCCACTATGATAAAACGTCCTGCTCATTAAATAAACAATGATCTTATAGTCAGATGAATTTGTTTATTTCAAATCAATCTGCTTTTTTCATGATAGAAAAAAATAATAGTAAAGCATTATTTGTATGGCACTTTTCATACATAGGATGCAGCTTACAGTTATTTAACAATATGGCAAGAAATTCACTTCAGCTACTTTTAGCACAAATGCAGATTATGTGCATGATATGATATCACAGAGTCCAAGGAGGTAAAATAGGGAAGAGAATAAATAATACAAATAATACAAAAGTTCACAACAGATAACACACTCAGGAAAAGTAAGAAACACATAATACAAAATGAATAAATAGAATGAAAAAAGAATAATAAAGTCTTTCCTGGTAGGCTGGTCCACAGTTTTGGGAGCGTAGTGGATCAAATCTGCTTCACCCATTATGTTTTATGGGACTTTTGGAATATTTAAAAAGGATAAGATGCATTGGGGAAATGTCTTCATCCCGTGTCCTCCCTTCCCAATATTAGCCACATGCTTTTTACTTGTCTTCTTACCCGTTCCGAATTGACCCCCCTCTTGAGTTTACACGTTCGTGTGTATGTTCACTCTCACGACTTAGGCATGCGTCCATGCAGAATAGATGAGTTTATGAACAGCTTGCCTCCCTCACATTAGACTGATTAATAGTTCAATCAGGGCTAAAATGGACAAAATGTCACGGGGGGACAGTTGTCATGCAAAATCAGCCCTTTATATGTTGGCCATTACAAGGATAGGCCTGCTTAATGCTGTCACAGGGCGTTACTAATGTATCTGCCTTGTGTAAGCCAGTGATTGAGGATCCTCTGCTGCTTTTAAATACAGAGCCTAGAGACAGTAGGGGGGCAATCAGGCTATTAGCGTGCATGAGCATGAAGCCTGCTATTTACTGGGTTTGCTCTTCTGTGTGTGTGAGAGGCCGAGGCTGTACACGCTACTTGTTTACTTGTTCGACGTTGTAGTGTGTGTATCGAGTGAAACCTGCCTGTCTTTGCATGAGATAGTTTGTATTTGGATGTGTTCATTGTGCTTGTGGCCAAATCCGTGTGTGTTTGTGCTGTGCATTGTCCTGCGTGTCCTCTCACTCTATTTCCCTCTGATGGTCTGCGAGGGCATTTCATGTCTGGCATGCAGCCGGGCGCAGGGAACCATCTGATAGGAGTGACCCATGGCCCTGAGTTACCCAGAGGTATTTAATCTGAGGTCAAGTGTTTAGTTGGCGTGATAGTTTCCCCTCACTAGCAGTGGACTAATAGATACATGCCCTGAGAGCTTGCACACACTGACTGACAGACAGAGGCAGCGTCAGGCTATGAGACCTCCTGATCTCATGAACACAATACGGCCTGTTCCTCTGTGGCCTCTGGTACACCTAATTGGAACACACACTAAGACCACGTCTTGCCGAAATGTCTTTTTTCTCATATTACCCACACTTGGGAAGGTTTGAGTCCTTATTAAACTTTATGTTGCCCCTGCGGTGGAGGACAGGCTAATGTATGGCTGAAGTCAAAATACCCTCAGCCGTGAAATGCCGTAGTCTACAGTCTAAAGGCTTAATGGCATAAGCTTCACTGATTAATCTATTGAATGTAGTGTACCGTACATGGGTTTAATATGGCGGACATCACGCTAAGGGATATGCCCTTACATTAACCTCAGAGGATAAGTGCTATTCATCAGTTTAAAAGTACTTTTATCCTGAAAAGAGTACCTTTTTTTTCTTGGGTAACACTGAGTAGAACACAATGTTCCAGAAGGCTTGTTGAAATACTTTGATAACAGTTTTTTGTTCCTAATTTTTACAATTATAACAAACTTAAGTTGTATTTCTTGAAGCTGCTACTGTTGGTCATTTTGTTTTAATTCACAGTGGGTGGATTTTATGCAAAGATGTTAGTTAAAGACAGAAAATAAAACAAAAGGAGAATACCCAAACAAGAAATAGACGATGTATTTTCCCCCTAATATTTCTGCATAAGCCTATATTAGAGTAAGAATAACTGTCCGAAAAATCCCTTGATTAGCAAAATGACCTAACAAACATTTTTTGTAACTATTATTTGATCTGATACAATTATTATTCTATTCATAAAAAAATTACAAAGGACATATTCCGCTCAGTGTTTCCCACAGATCTGAAATATACTTGTGGTGGTAGCCGAGAACGGGGGGGGGGGTGTGTGTGTGTGTGCTAGTGGAGCACGCTCATGAACTGTTCGCTGGAGCCTCGCAGCGGGGTTACTGCGGAGCGCACAAAGCAGACCCTTCACACGATAGCAGAGCGAACAGGTCCAGGAGGGGTAGAGCGAGGGATCGTGGACAGATACAATAAAGTAAACCTAAATGGGTCGCGAAATATACTTTGGCGGACGTTAATATACCTGGGCGGCCCGCCCAAGTAAAGTCTATGTGTGGGAAACCCCGCAGGTTCATATTTGTATGTAGTGCCTCTACTGTCACATGTCTCCATGCTTTAATGTTCAAAAAGCTCTTTATTTGTCTCATACTGCCTGTGCTGCAGCACCTCTTTTCACCCTCTGTCTGAAACCAGAGCCCAGTCTGCTCTGATTGGTTAGCTGATCGGCACCGTTGTGATTGGTCAACCACTTAGAGATGTCGTGCCCCTTAGCCAATCACGTACAATGTGTTGGAGCGCGTTTGCAAATAGAAGCACGAGTGTTACATGGTGATGTCACCATGTTCCGAAAGCAAACAAATGTCTCCACTGAGGCGTTTCAGGCAGGGGGGGGGGGGGGGGGGGGAGAGGGAGAAGAGTGTCTGGGCCTCTTTAATTGGAAAGATGAATTAGTATTGAAACCAATGATTAGTTGCAGCACCAAATGGATGTCATACAAATATACAGTATAGCTATTTCTACTCTTCTCTTGTTTCCAGGAGACGAGGAGAGATCTACGGAGGCGGAGCAGGAGGGGGAGGAGGAAGTGAAGCTGGTCCTTCACTGTCCTCCCATCTACCCGCTGCCTGAAGGGATAAAAAAGGTAGGCAGTGATTCAGAAATCATCTTCCTGAAAACCAGGCGGGTACCTTACAGGTTTTCTATTTGAAGTTAAATCTGAACACCCTCTCAGGGGAACATACATCAAATCATTTTGTATGCATTCTGCTTGCGACCATGTTACCTTTCAAAGCTGCATGTTAATGAAACACCATATTGACACAACATATGCCACTTTTTTCCACAACCCATCCTGGTAAATGTTAATGCTTCTCTCTCTCCTTATGCTGCAGTCATCAATATGACCAGAATAAGAAATGGAACAATGCCTCTCCCTATAATATTCCATCTGTTTTAACATAAAGCACTTAGGAAGCACCATGGCGATGATGGCGTGTTGCTTTATTTCCTCGTCAATGTCAGGTGGCAGTTACATATTACCATATGATATGCCATATGGTATGAATATAAATTAGGGAATATCTTCCTTCCGCACACAGTCTCTACCAGTTCGAGCAGCGTATTCTCCGTTTATCAAAGGAAATGATTATCTACAAAAATAAGGCTTTCCAGAGTTAAACGACTTTACTTTCAAGATGACGCTAAGTAATTGCAGCTGATAAGTAAAGACGTAAATATGTCACCACGTTGCAAAATCATTGAGATCATAATATGACTCATTTATGACATTCATCATGATGATAATAGTTGGCTTGTTTACAGCCTGTTTGATCATCCCACTTCCGTTTGCATTCACTGCAGACCATAGCAGCATGAGCTAAGCTCTTAAAGTGCTTTTAAAAAATAATGGCTTTCCACTTTGGTGTTGAATTGAATGTCCAAAGTACAAGCACAACGAAATGTGTCCTCTGCGAAGTGTTTTAGAAAACCTGCGCTCTCATTCAGCATATTCACAAAGTAGTCGGTAAGTAAAGTTCAAAAGGGCAAAAATAAAATCTTAGCAAAACAAAATGCTCCGTTTTAGTTCAAACATACAGTAGATGGTTACCGGTACATGTCTTTATTTTAAAATCTAGTGTGTGTATTGTGATCCCAACACTTTAGAAATATAACAGTAATCTGATTATGTCTTTTTTATGCAATGTTTTTGCGAATACAGTTACCTTTTACATATCCTGATTATGTGATCCTGGTATCCATTACTCCCTAGTTACGTTTGTCTATTCTGAGTGATTTGATATACCAGCTCATACTCACTCTATGGGGCTGCTCCGTCTGCGCTCTCTCTCTCTCCGTCTGCGCTC